GCGGCTCGGGGGCTTGCCCGGGGGGCTGGGAGGCGCGGCTGGGGGAGGGAGGGAGCGCTCAGGGTTCGCGAACGGGCAGGAGCCGGCTCGGGGACCCTCTGACCCCAGAATATTAATAGCGGAGAGCTTTAACCTGAGGAGGAGAAGAGCATGCGTGTGGTCGGTTTGCTCTTCCCTGTGCATCTGCTTACGGCCTTCCTTCTTCTATTTTTAGCAGTTCTTATATCGTGTTCGGGAGGTTTATTCTCGCGTCTTTTCAGTTATTTGCGTTTGGTGTTCTCTTTGCCAACCTGGCAAAGAGGGTTTTGGTGGGAGGTTTTTTTGCAATTTCTCTCTGACTTCAGAAGAGCATGCGTGTGGTCGGTTTGCTCTTCCCTGTGCATCTGCTTACGGCCTTCCTTCTTCTATTTTTAGCAGTTCTTATATCGTGTTCGGGAGGTTTATTCTCGCGTCTTTTCAGTTATTTGCGTTTGGTGTTCTCTTTGCCAACCTGGCAAAGAGGGTTTTGGTGGGAGGTTTTTTTGCAATTTCTCTCTGACTTCCTCCTCGCTTTGCCAGGGATTCCCCCGTGGTCAGTTGAGCCCCTGTTGTTTTCATGCTGAGCACAGTGCAACGTGTCTATTTTTGTCACTTGGGCTCTCTTGCCGCTGCACTGGCCTCAACCAACCTGGACTACTCCATCCTACAACTGGGCTTTGTATTTCTGCCACATCGGCTGAGGGAGAAGGAGGGATGTTTCCTGCAAATGTGAGAAAGTCATAAATGAACTTGTAGTTCTGGTTCACAGAAGTAGGGAGCTAGAGGATTCCTTTTTTCAGCTAGTACTTGTTTTTTCAGTGCAGAATGTGTGTATTCAGGTTAGGTGGTATAACTAATGGGTGGCATGTAGATGCTAAAAAGGCCTTTCATACTAGACTAAAGCAAAAGTCCTTCTGCAGGTGCTACCATCACATCTGGAGAGGCTGTGGGCAGAAAGCAGGGATTTTTTTTTTTCTGCCTTTAGAGAAAGTTTCCACGTTTTTTATTGCTCCTCAGAGTGGCAGGTACATGAAATATTTTGCTTCAGAGGAAATCTACAGTGTATCCCCACTGCACTTGCCTTAGGCCGGTGCCAGGAATCCCTGCTGAATATACCATATGGCACGTGCTGTAGTCAAGGCGATTCAACCTCTGCCTGGGGCTCAGAAGCTTGACAGGAGCACAGAAGCACCTATTACAGGCCTGAAGGACTGATCTGTAGATCTCTTCCGACTTGATAGGATGCTCTTCACCCAGCCTACCAATAATGCTGTGCACTTATGCCTCGGGCTGGTGCTTGGTCTCAAGCTGCTGCAACCCCAGACTCTGGAAGAAAACTGAGTCATAACCATGGCATTTGTTTTGTTCCAGGTGCTGCTGGAGTGCTGGTAGGACACCCATTTGACACTGTTAAGGTGAGTTGATTATGAAATACCTTTGTTTCCACGTAGAAAACTTAAAGCTTTTCCAAGGAATGGGGGAGGAAAAAACATCCCCAGATGCTGTAGGAGCATAAATCTGTGCTGGAAACCTTGGAGCAAGCCTCCTCAACCACTGTCTTCAGCAGTGAAAAAAAATCTTTGTATGTATGATTCAGCCCAGTAACATGATGAATGTTGGCCTAAACTACAAGTTCATCAGTGCAGTAACAATGTCCTATTTGAAAATACAATTTACCTTTAACTTAATTTTATCTGAAGCTTGCTTCTCTGCAGCTGTTCATCACTAACTGCTAAAGCTGCCTCTCCCTGCCTTTGTAACTCAAACCTGCTTTGTTACCGGGTTGAAAATGTATGTTTTGTTTCCCCCTCAAACTCTGCTAATTACTCAAGCCATTCATTTGTTACACTAGCCAAAAGATGTAAGTGGATAAAAATCCACAGCATGAAGCTTATCTGGGTGCTTTTTCTTCCCTTTAAGTATTATTACATATTTTTATAACTTTCCAAGGTTAAAATTATTTTCTGATAATCACTTAGGTGTATGTATTATGCATGCTAAGGGTTGCTAAGACCTGTTCAAATATAAGATTTTGAAATCTTCTGAAGGGCCCTTCCTTCAGCCAGGACTCCCAGGGGTCCAAGCCCGTTTTTTCAGAACAGGGTGACAACTTCAGTCACTTTTTGGCAGCCTTATCCAAAGTCTTGCACTGGAAGAACAGAAGAAAGGATGCCAATATATTTCCTGCTAAATTATTGTGCCAGATCACTTGACTGCAGCAGACAGCATGCCACCTGCTGGAGCTGCATTTGGAATGCCTGCACCTCGATGAATTTAGGTATGCAAAGGGCTAATAGTGTTACTGAGGCTAGCACCATATTCTGTATTCCAGCACATGGTAAATTCAATACAGATTTTCTAAGCTAGTGGATATTAATCCCTGCTAGCCAAGTGCAAGCTGCTCAAAAAGGAAAAACTGTATGTATGTTTCTCAGTATGGTGAATTTGCCTGCTAAGTAATGGGGTTCAATTGTAGTATCTGTTTTCAGAAATGGCATTATCCATACTTGCACTTTTTTTTTTTTAATGGTGGTGTAGGCACAGCTGTCTTTTTCTCTCACCCCATTCTGCCAAGTTTTCCATGCTTAATTTAAGGTGACGGGTCATTTCACTGAAGCCAGCAAAACTGCTAAAATGCTACACGCAGCCCAAAGAATGTGGGGGGAGGGTTAGGTTTTAAAAGGGAACAGCTTCTAGTGCATGAAACTAAACGTGTCTGCAAGACTGGGGCTCCCATGCTAGTTCAAGCAGATGTATTAGTGCAAAACATGTTTTCTTTAGAAAAAGCATCTTGCTTTACAGTAGAGCATATAGTTTCTGAATTACTTTAAATGTTTTATGAAATACAGTGTGGCATGCTGTGTCTTCATACCATTAGAAGGTGGCATAAGCATTTATCTTTTTTTTGTTAAAAAAAATACTGATGTTTATGTTATTAGTCACCGCTGCATGTGGGAAAACTAACTGTAACCAGTCTTTTAAAAAAATAAAATGCATAACTTGTATATGTATGTATGTTAAGAATTAACCCTTTTTATAACTGCAATGTTTAAAGGGCTATCTGGTAGCCACTTCAGACTGTAAATTTTTAATAAAACTGAACAATGGGAAAGTTGCTTAGATAAGCTAGAATTTTACTTCTGTCTTAGCTTTTAAGCTCTTTTTTTGGCCAGTGATCATGTTTCACAAAGCGGGGAGGGGGATGGTGGGACACACAGGGAGACAGTAAGACTGTGAAGTCATCCTGCGAAACCCACAACTGAGCTGATCTCAGAACTGGCAAACTCCTTATCCCTGGTTTGTTGATGTAATGTATAAATTTGCTTTTTTGCTTTTAACTGCCTTTACTTTCTGAGCTAGGGGCTGTCTTCATTAACAGCAAAAGTGTTACTTTGTTGTAGATGACAGATAAGCCTCATCACGGGAGAGTTACCTAGTAAGTATAGCCCAGGTGAACACTTCTGTTTCTCTCAGTCTTAATTATTCCCAAATGTATTAGTTCAAATAAAGATCTAAAAGAGTTATGAAGCTTTTTTCCCTTTTTAGTTTAAACTGATGTGTCCCTCTTCTACAGCTATGGCATGGAGGGAGTGGGGTTTAAAGATCATTTTTTTTTTTTTAAATGAAAAGTCTTATTCTGAACCTTCATTCTGGTATGCATTTCTGGCTGTATACACTTCCACACAGAGAGGCTCTAAAACTGAACCTCAGGCACAGTGTTCTTGAGGTCTTACCCACTACATAACCTTAGAGGACACTTTCATTGCTCAAATGCATCTAAATTGCTTATTTTGCATATTATTAAGTGTTTGGACTGTTTTGGGGGTGTGGTGGTTTGGTTTTTTGGCTTAGCCTTGTGTACCTTTATGCAAGTCTTCAGAGATGGGAAATCACAGTGTGTTACTATTGGACCTAAAACCGTAGTAACTGCTTTCAAATAAGAGGGAAGCAAGAATATTGGGCAATAATAGAATGCAGGTTTTCACTTTGCACACTATTAATCCTACCTATAGTTGTACACACTAAACAGCTTGTTGAACATGACATTAATACTCAGGAAATAAATAAAGTTCAATATGCATTAATTGCCTTACCTGACAGTTGGCTAAAGCAAGTACCCCTATGTGGTCATTGCTGTGCTCAAATGAGAGCGCCATTTTTTATTCTTAAACCTGAAGTGTCAGTAGTCTCTGAATATTTTATCCTACAACAAGGCTTAACTGGTCAATATTTCAGTAATTACTTACACAAAAATAGTGGGAGCTGTATGCCACTAGAAAATTCAACCTATATATACAGAATATAACTAATTCTAAATTACTAGTGACAAGCGTATAGAAAGCTTAAAGTAAAAAGTTTCCCAAGGTGTAATTCTTCTAAAGCCCATACATGTGGAACTCCCCTGGTTTCACAGATGGGGTTTGAAACAATAGCAGTAAGTAAAACTTCAATTTTGTGCAATTCTGACAGCTTGGTAAGGTTTATGACTTGCTTGTCAGGCTGCTTCTTGAGCAGTGTTAACAATCTGCCTGCCTCCCAAACGTCACTTTGAACAACAAAGGATTTATTTGCTTTGAATCCTACTATAAGCCTACTTTTAACACTAAGATGTTTTAAATCCCTGCTCCATCTTGGAAGACCTGAGGTGATCTCAGCTTCCCAGGCTGGCTAGCACACACTAACTATAGACTAAAAAGCCACTGAAAACTTAAATTTTTATTTACAAAACAGAAGATGATGATGTATTGTAGGAATATAAAAAATACTGAACCTGTAAATATTTTTGCCTTAAAGAAAGCTAACCTGAATATAGAATTTTGACAAGCGATGACCCCAAATCCTTTTCTTGACCCACAGCATCTTATGGGTCTTTCATTTTTGTGGTTGCTTTGTTTTTTTTTAACTCAGAGAATCAAGGATAAAAAGATTTTACAGTCAGGCATCTCTCACATAGACCTGGTAATATTTCCTTTTGTTCTGAATAAGAGTCTTTAAAGTTTTTTTGCCCTGGAGTTGCAGCAGCATTAAAGGGTTGATCAGCATCTTCTCTGAGGAACATCACAGCCTTCCATGCTGGAGATCAAAGGCAGATTTCTAACTTCTCCAGTCTAGTGAAACCAATTTACTGACTTTATTGCAGTGTAGGGTTTTGCATGAACTAGATAGAGCTTTGAGGCTTTTTTTTTTTCTTAAATATGTTGATAAAAATTACCAGGAAAAACTGGAATGGACAGGCCGATTGTCCTTAATGTTAGCACTTGCAGTAGCTTCTACCTGTCCAGCAGAATGTACCATTCCAGTTTTGGAAAAGTTAACTGATCTTTCACATTAAAGGTTTAAAACAGCCAGACCCTGTTTGCATTTAGCAAGTTAAAAAACCCAACCAACCAAAAGACTAACATTTAAAAGGACAAGTGGCTTTTTATTCCTTCCTCATGCAAAGTAAGACATCTTAAGAGTATCTTCCCAGCTACTCTCTGGAAAAGATCAGATCTCAATGAAGGGTCCCAAGTCTGGTAGCCAGAAACTGTGGGGGTGTTGCTGAAAGTTTCCATCCTTGTACAATTATCCTTATTTCATGCTTGACTTGTGAATAATTTTTAAACAAATTCTACCAGGTTTGTACAGATAGTTCTTAGTGTGAACAGAAGTATTCTTGGCAGCTAAAGAAAGTACTTATTGTACCTAGTACTGAAAAACTTCCATCTGAAACTCTAGATCCAGTGTACTCTGTTGTACTTGCACATACTGTTTTTCTAATGTTCATAAGAAGTTAGTAATCTTCCTCCCTTCATGTTTGCACCCCAAAAAATTAATTCAAAACACTGAATATTTTTAAATTATTTTGCCACATATGGCATTCCAGTGTCCAGCCTGCATTACTAGAGCAAATCTCCACATGCACAAGACACTGTTTTACCAATCAGGCTACTCCTGCCATACAAATCAGTATCTCATACAACTTTTTATAGGTTCGTCTACAAGTTCAAAATGTAGAGAAACCTCTCTACCGTGGGACCTTCCATTGCTTTCAGTCCATCATAAAGCAAGAATCTGTAAGTACAGAATTAATGCTTTGCATATTTTGTATCTTCTAATAAATTTGTACCAGAAGGGTGAGAAAACTGTTTTAAAAAAACTACCAAAACTGAAGATTAAGAGAAAAGCATGCTCTGAACCTCACCTGAGCACAGGGCAAATGTAGTCAAGACATTTGCCAGAAACTCTGGCAAGATTACTAAGTTGGAAGTTGATATTTTGAAGTTAACTTTTAAAATGAGTTACTTGAATAGCTAATTTTTCCAGAATCCAAGGAATCTGGGCAATGACTGAAAAAAATGGTGAGGTTTCTTTTTCTGCTGAAGCTTTAAGACCATAACTGAAAGGGTGGTTTTTAGGAATTAGCTACTTAAAATATTAAGTATAAAATTTACCAGAAAACTTTTCTTTGGACGGACTAAGATTATTTTCTGGATGCATTCAACTATATATTTGTACTGCTAAAAATATTTAGATGTTTGTGTCTTAAGCAGCAATGAAAATATTATTACAAAGCAAGATGTTGATGATCTACTGTGGGAAAATTAGGGCATAAGATAGAGCCAGAAAGGGGTATCTTCTGCATAGTTTCAGGAGGTTATCAGCACCACTGTTAAAGTGTTTTTACTTCCCTCTTCCACTAGGCTTTTGGACTCTATAAAGGTATTGGGTCACCCATGATGGGACTTACCTTCATTAATGCACTTGTGTTCGGTGTACAAGGTAACACACTACGTGCTCTTGGAAAAGACACTCCTCTAAACCAGTTCCTTGCAGGGTCAGCAGCAGGGGCTATCCAGTGTGTCATCTGCTGTCCCATGGAGTTGGCAAAGACGAGAATGCAGCTTCAAGGAACAGGTGAATACAAACTAAAAACGAAGAACTACAAAAATTCTCTGGATTGTTTGATCAAAATCTATCAAAAGGAGGGGTTGAGGGGTATCAACAGGGGCATGGTCTCTACATTCATAAGAGAGACTCCAAGTTTTGGCTTTTACTTCCTGACCTATGACTGCATGACCAGGTATTTAGGCTGTGAAGCTGAAGACAGTTACGTTATTCCCAAACTGCTGTTTTCTGGTGGGATGTCAGGAATTGTGTCCTGGCTCTCAACTTACCCTGTGGATGTGATCAAATCCCGGCTCCAGGCTGATGGAGTTGGAGGTGTTACACAATACAACGGCATTGTAGACTGCATCAGAAAGAGTTACCATGAAGAAGGCTGGAGGGTGTTCACAAGAGGTCTTACTTCTACACTTCTCCGTGCTTTTCCTGTCAACGCAGCTACATTTGCTACTGTCACTGTGTTCCTGATGTACATGAGGTCAGAAGACAACCTTCATGAATGTGAACCTGGTCCAGTAATCCAGCAGCCTTCCAATTTGTAAACCTTGTCTGTTACTTCTCCTGATCCAATGCCCAGCTCCTTGGCTTTTTTTTTTTTGTGTAAACACTTGACCTGCAAAAGTGGTGTAAATGTATGCTAGCTGTATAATGAACTCCTAAATGTATCACATTAGGATTTCATTTCATTACTTGTATAAACAGCATATTGCCTTATTAAGGACTTCATATCTAGTAGTATCCAAGGAAGATGGGGACCTGCTTTTAGAAAGTACTGTGCAGTTTCAGTTGTGGCTCCAGAAGAGGATCTAGAGAATGTGGTACCAGAAATGAGGTTTTCTTCCACCCATGTTCTGAATTACTGAGTTGAGTTGAATGCAGAAACACTTTCAGAACAGGAATGTTCTTTTTTTGTATGTAGCAGGAGTAAGCATAGTCCTCTAAGGTGAAGTGGGAGGAAGATATTAAATGTTGGAGATATTTCGCAGGTAACCCTGAACTGTTCAAGACATGGACTAGCATTCAGCTTGCCATGTATTTTACTTTTCCTCTGCTTTTATATGTCAGTGTTTTTAGTAGCATCTTTGTTCATACTGGTTTCCTAAAAAACAAAAATAAATTACCTGTTCCTAAGCTATTCCCTTACCTTTCAGCTTTGAATAAATATCTCAAGCACAAACCAAGTTAGCATCTGCACTCATATGCACTTGTTCCTTTAAATTTCAAGGCTTGTAAGGATTTAGGGAAACTCAAAGGTAGTAAGATTGATGTTATTTGCCTTCACTTCTATTTCTTGTTTGGTGGGTGCATAGATTGTATTGACTAGCATCAGGCTGTTCTCTGAAGTTACTGCAACTTTGTGCCACTTCTCCCAGCATGCCTCATAGCAGCCAGTGGTGCACCGAAGTCAAAGTCCTACCTGTGGTATTGCACAAAATGTTTGTGGTGCAAGGTTAGCTTAGCAGCTTGAAGTTCTGTAGAAACATGTGTTTGTCTAAAACTGGAGGTTTCGTATCTCTCCAGACAATAGGCGTGTAGGTTGGTGTTCAATACACTTGCCTTATGAATTTAAACAATACTGATTTTTATGTATTTAGTTACAGTGCTACTAGAAAGAAAACTGAAAAGGTTTTTTTGAGACTTCTTGTTACATTAATCTTGTTCAGGAGAAATTGCATCAGTCAAAGAGCTATAAACAGTTATTTAAGGTTTGAAATAAGAACTACACATATTAGGCACAAGTGGCCAGTGAGGAAAAGTGTTATGTGTGTGAGCAATGTTCTCCAATGTATCAGACTAGTTCAGTAAGTACAACTTGTTACACTTTTGGTTGGGACAAGTGCAATATGTGTTTAATTTATATGAATTTTCTAAGGAAATCTTATAGCATTTTGCACTGTAACAAAATATGCTGGAGAAACCTGTAAAACTGGTATGTCTTTTTATACCTTGAAGGTATGTTGGATGTTTTAGTGCCTACTTGCACTGAGATTCAAATTGAATATTAAATCTGTCTACTAAGCTGCATATGCACAATTCACAGCACAGACCATTTACACCTTTGTACAATAATTATTGTATATAAAATTGAGGGAATAAATTTTTTTAAAGTTTTGACTTTGGTTCTTTAAAATGTCTTTTTTCCTCAGCTGCTTCCTTGTGTTAAGCCTAGCTTGCAAGAGGGTGGGGCTTCTGGCTTTTGCCTGGAGAAACTTGTTCCCCATCTACTTTACATGCACCACCAGGAAGGGCAGTGCCTTGCCCTGGCTTAAGAGTTTATCTGGTTGTTGAAGCAAAGAATGGAACTTGCCTGAGCTTACTTTTTCAAATTGAGCTTTTCAGTGAGTACTTCACTTGGAGATATTAAAGGTGCTAAGAGAACGATCCTGCTGTTAGAGCCAAACAGCTGGCAGAACACTTAGACCTTTCATACCATGCAGGTATTTGGTTTAAGCAGTGCTGATCAGCACCAAGGCTGTGCAACTACAGAAGACAAGTCTAGGGTCCCTGCAGAGTCCCATCAGAATGGAGTACCAGGTCTGCCAACAGCACTATTCATACCTGGATCAGATTGATGCTTGGCTCTAAAATGCAAAAGTTATCAAAAAAATTTGTACCTTGTAGCTTTTTAGTTTTAGACAGTGCAACTAGCTCACAAAGAGCATTAATATTCCAAAATAAAAAGCCATGCAGGAGAAGCAGGACGATGTGTTACGACCCATGAAAAAGACCTCTCCTTCCTAAGGAAAAGTTATTTCAGGTAGCAGCTCCACTAATTCATCTTCTTAAAGAACATATACATGACTGAAAGAAACCCTGTTAGGCATTAGCTTGCTAGATCAGAAAAGGAAAAGGTCACCAACCACTCCACCTAACCGTGACCAGGGGCTGTTCCCATCAAATACCTTGTGTTGTCTCAGCAGGCACAACCATCTTGAACTAAGCAGAAACAAACACTTGCAATAAGCAAACAGTGTCTGTAAATGAGAGTAACATTAAACAGAAATGGCTACACAATGCTTTACTTGCAGTATTGACCAAAACATTCTTTCCAGAAACTCACCCATCTGGAACTTAAAACAAATCATCAGTAGCAGACAACAGGAGGTTACTCAACAAGCCTAACAGGAGGGTAAAGGCCAGATTTCAGTCTACTCTGATGTCAGCTGCTTGAAATCTGTGTGACTCCTAACTATTAAATGAAGCTAGACAATAGCCTCAGCCTTTTAAAACATTATTAAGTTCTTTCCTGCTAGATTTTTGACACATCAGCCAATTTAGCAAAGTCAGACAAAACTGTATTCTGCCTCCCCAGATCCTCCTTCCCAAAAGCACCATCAAGTATGACACCAGGTAGGAGATACTCTGTTAATACCTCAACAACTGAAGGGAATAAGAAGGTAAAACTCACGTACCGTCAAGTCCCCATACTCTACTCTTTCTTTTGACTGCTGCTGGATGAGTCAGTCATACCACAGTTACAAGCTGCAGCCACAAATATGCTTAATTAGGACAAGAGGGGAAACCTCCCCACACAAAAACAAACAAACAAACAAAAACAACAAACAAACAAAAAAACCAACACTGAGGTACAACCCCTCCAAGCTTTAAAGAAGTTATTATAGTAAAATTACTGGGGTAAAATTCAGTTCACTTGTCATCTCTGCAACTGTAACCTGATAGTATTTTGGTTTGGTTTGGTTTTTTGTCCCCTCTTCCTTGCCTTTCCCTGCAAATAGCTTTTCTACAGTTCACAAGAAAAAGGAGAAAGACATTAAAGGGTTGAAAACCTGTAAGTTACAGGTGCAGGACACACAGCCTACTGGGAAAGTTACTAAGATGCAAGTATAAAGTTGACTAAAGAACAACTTAAAGCCCAGAAGTGTACCTAACACCCTTAAAATAGCAGAACATGCAATTAAACCCCTCTTCTGCCAGAAGAACAGCAAGAGAAATGGCAGCTCGCCCAAGGCAACATCATCAAACACCACAGCCATGGAGACAGATGAAGGATCTAAGGGACCATATGACTCCAGAAGGCACAGCAAAGGAACTTTGCTAGGCCAAAACTAGTGGAGACAGGTGTTGAATCATGAGGAAGCAAACTGTTTCTTTCAATGTTCAGGAATTTATGTATGTTAATGGGCAAAGGGGAAGGAAGCAGAAAGCAGAAGAAAAATAGTAATTTTAATCCTCCCAGTGCACCTATTTTGCAATTTTTGCACTAGCACTATCCTTGCTAAAGACAAAAAGAGCTTATCACTAACAGAAAAGTATTAGTAACATAATGTGCACAATGATACACATGACATACAGTAAAAGCTTGTCTACTCATAGTTTATTATCAGTTTTAACTGATTTGACCTCAAATATGATTTTAAAGTTATACCATTTCATCAGTAAATAAAATGAAAGCAAGCAAGGCAGGATCAGCAGTGAAAAATAATATCCTATACCTTGATATAATTGGTAGAAAAGCAAGTTCTAATGTCCACAAGACATTCTTAAGGTCTATAAAAATCTACATGTAACACAGTTAAATTGCTTTTTGGTATATTATTATTTAAACTTTATTATTACTGCTTTTTCATACTGAAAGAAACCCTCCAAAATTTTTACTTTTAACATTTCAACTATGTCCATGTGTCAATCAATAAAATAACTAAAGTCAGAATAAAACTTGACCTCATGGTCTGCACTGTTTGCTAAATACATTAAATCAGGAAGAATTGTTTCTAGAGTACTTTAACTTGGCTAGACTGTGTGTCTGGTGTGAAAGAATATTCATATTCTTTTGCAAGGACCTGATCTAGTTCTCTTATGCAGAGATTTATCCTAGATGAGGTAATCTCAAAGTGTTGCAATCAACCAGGCTACTTGTTCCTTGTGCACTGCTGTATTTTCACTTAAGGGAGAATCTACAACATCTGAACAGGCTAGTAATAAAGTTCAAGCTTTGTAACTGCGGTTAAAGGAAGTAAAAAAAACAACAACAAAACAACACACCTGTCCTACCCTTGATTTCCTCTAGGCGGATACCTGCTTCCCTGCCAGTTCATAACAGAGACAGTGCACTTCCTATCACACTCTGGAGAAAAGTGAGATGAAATCCCCTACCCCTAGCCTATGCAAGAGGAAAGAAACAAACAAAACTATACAAGAGAAAAATCTGAAAACCTGCCATGGCATTATTCCTTACAATCTGTTTCCAAACCATAAACATTTCTATGCCCTTTCAACCTATGGGAGTCATTGGATTCATATAAAACCACTGGAGGTTCAGCCAAAGTGCCAGTTAATATTGAAGGCTGAAGGACTCTATATCCATATCCAAAGGCCAAATCCTCCGTTTTGCTAAGAAAAAAGGATCCTGTTGAAAACTAAATTAAAACATAAGCTGCATGATGCCCCATGTCTGATACAGTCACAAACACTGCAAGCCAAAATTGGCAACATTAGTGAGGTCCTTGGCAAACACTCTGCAGCTCTGAAGCCATCTGACTTCTTGAGCCCTTAAAACATTCCACAATGTGCCTCGGAACTGATGGCTGAGATGACCTTTAGCTGAAATACATTGGAACATATACAGTCACCAAGCTTTTTTGAGTGGATTTTCCACTATTTCACAAGTATTCCATCTCATGCTTCTGGTTTTATCTGCTCTTATGATTTAGCTAAAAAAAATATCTGTTATTCATGAACATCCCTCTGAAATACACCCTTACTGTGGACCTGCGCCAGAGAGAGAACCAGTTTGTGGTCTTCAATTCCCTAAAGAGCAGCAATGTTCTCTGATGAAACATCTGTCCTGCAGTCTCTGCAATGGCCTTGCAAACATTACAAGAAGCAACACACTGAAGTCAAATGGCGAAGCCGTAACTGCTTCAGGTGAGCTTAGAGTTCTTAGAAAGCAATAGCTGGAATGAAGCATTGTTGCTTTACAGGTCCACCAGCTAACCAAAACAGCCACTTATAGTTGAAAGCACATTCATTAACGATATATGTCATTAGATGTCCACATTTCTCTTTAAAGATATTTAATACTAATATTGGATGTATGCATCCCTTAAAAATATCTGATCTATGCCACACTCAACAGTTTCTGTTTACAATCTTAATTTTCATTGCCTTGCTGGTGATTTTCATGAATGCACGAGTACACTTTGGACTCTCAGAAGTCAGCAGTTGTACTTCTTATTCACCTGCACTGGTGTGTGGGAAACTTGTCCTTTGACACCTGCACATTCCAAGCCTGTAAAGGTCTACTGTGCTCCACAGGACACCCTGCATGCACTTGACCTCATAGGGGCACCCCTGACACTTTCCTATTCTGTCTGCTGGTCAAGCCGTACAAACTGGTAATTCACTGCCATCTCCTGGCAAACTACTATTCAAGACTATCTGTATAGGCTGAAATAAAGAACTGACATACATGCTACCTCCTATTGGGCCAGTTAAGAGAGCGATCACACTTAAAACTACAAACAAGAATATTTACTCTAAAAGTGGTGGCAAGAGAAGGATCCAACAGCCCTGCCTCACAGAGCCACCTTTTTTCCCCCCTCCCTCCCAAAATTGATCATATTTCTACAGAACTTCAGGCTTGTTCCTAAGCAAGCTTCCAGTCTACACAGGAACCTGGTGAGAATAGCAGTGCACAAGAGGGAAATTATATCCACACCATAGCACTTAATAGAAGGGATGGTATCCAATCATCATCATCTGATCTTAAAAGCTTTTCTGTTAGAAAAAAAAAAAAAAATAACAGAAGACTTCAATTTCAGAGTTTTCTTACCTAAAAACCAGTTGCTGTAAGTGACCTTACTCATTTGGCTACAGCAAAAGGGTGTTTTTTCACTACCTTAAAGGTAGCCAGGAACTGAGAAATGAACTCTTATACTGAATCTGATGTGCCTTCTCCAAAAGGAAATCCAATATTCTCCACACCACTTCCAGAAAAAAAAAAAAAAGGACTGAACAAAATTCTAAGCAATACTGTCTTAATAATACAGGATGAATTTTGAGTACACATAAACTTGCTTAAGTCAGTTTATTGCAGGCAGAGAATGACATTGAATAAAGGATCACTGATTAAATCACCTTACAAAATTCAGGCAGTGGCCATCCTGGTATCATTTAAGCATTGCTGTAAAGTCATCTTTACAGTATTAGCCTTTTGCTATTTTATATTAGATCAACTCATGATCAAAATGAATCTTAAGTCTCACAATAACATAAGCATGCACATTCCTCTTCTAATCCATTTGTATCTTTACGGATCACTGTGTAGAGGTTTCTGGTTGTTATATTCTTCTGTGGTGTCTCACACCCTCTTCCTCATGTCACTCTGCCATTCTTTTGCCCTGGGACTGCCAAATCAGGCTGATAGATGAAATGTTTTCACTCTTCCCAAGTCAAGTGTTTACATTTTAACTATTCCATTTATACTGCTATGAATTAGTGTAGTCATCCCAAGTCAAACTTTTATTTTTATTCATGTCTGCAAAATGTACACAACAGCATTCAGGCTTGAAATCCACCCCAAGTTCTGGACCTTTTGAAGTACTTCTGCCTTCTCCATAGCAATAGAGAAATTTAAGCAATACACGAACATTAGCACAGTTACTAAGAAGTCAAAGCTTAACGGGGCAAGAAACATTTTTTGCTTCCCACCTCAAGCCACTGTAACACAGACAAGTAGAGATGAAAAACTTACCATTGCCAAGTGCCATCATTATAGAACTACTGAATCAACCAACATTAGCAACAGCTACCTCGCAACTGCTTAGACTTCCTAGAATGATGTGTCTAGCAGGCCTCACAAAAACACCCATTTTTCTCCATTTCTTCAAGGCACTAAGGAGGGAACCACATTCCAGAATGCTATTCAGCACATATTCTCCTCGAGTTTGTCCATCTTAACCCAGTAGAAAGACTAGTCAGTTTTTCCAAGGCATGTGCTAAGAAAATATCATGTCAGCATCCTAGGGCAGGTCACAACCAAGCGGCAACGTCTTTCATCATCACTGCTGTTCATCTAGCACGTCGAAGGAAATACCTTTCTTCAAACATTTTAAAGCCTCAATATTTTTGCCATTTCTGTTCACTATTTCTTCTTTTGCTTTTTACTTACTGTGGAATTAGCAGAGGGAAAGAATTTCTGTCTGCCTTTAAAACTACAGTACTGCTGATAAGCTCTGCTGCTAGAATATATTTACTATTGGGCTTTGCAGATTGACAATTTGTGGCCACTATGAGAGGAAAAAAAAAAAAAAAAGGGTCAAATTGCACCACCTCAGGTCAAACAGTGAACCTCTTCAAAAGGAAGATAATTTAAGTCAACTGTAAGTTCAGCTGATGTCTGGGCAGAGAGAGTTCTCAGTTCTGTTTCATTAAGAATTTAATCACTTGGTGTTTCAAATCTGTACTTCATTACTCTTATAAGCTTTTCAGGAAAAGCAATCTCCAGAAGTAACAGGTATTTGACTCCAGCTTGTCCTGTATTTCAAAAGCAGGGTCTACTTCTACTGGCAGACCACAGACATAGCTGGAGAGGTCTACAGTCACTTCTACCTTTTAAAAATATAGTTTGAGTCCAAAAGATACACTGCTACAGAATTTGTCACATTCCATTTTCACAGCAGAAGAACCACATAAAGTAGTATGAAGTGTTAGGATCAAATGAGTGGTAGAACAGACATGATGAGTAAGCATTCATTTTGCCAGCTTTCAAACCATTGGCTACATTTCCCCCAACCCTCAGACTCTCCTCTCCTTACCTGAACATGCTCACAAACTGGTGGCATAAAGCAGGAACTTGTTGACAGCAGGCTGGCAATGGTTGTTTCAAAGTCAACTCTGTTGCTAGTCTCTCAGCCTGAAATATCTTCACTGAAAATTCAGAAGGAAAACTCTGGAATCAATTAAGCATGATGTTTTAAGAACAAGACGTGCCAATTATACTTTAAAAGCTTAAATGACTTACAGAAACTGCTTAATGCAAGTATTTATTCATACACATTGTGGAATTAGCTAGTTACAAAGCAAGACCTTTCATGCTACTAAGTGTTGCTACTTACACTCAGGAGTGTATTTAATGCTACTGATTTGAGGCCTAGATGAAAATATTTCAGATCTCTCTCCGTAACCAGATGCAATTTAACTCAGGGAAATACAAGTTTCAATTTGCAGTTAACCCTCAAATCAATATTTAACATAAATAATGGAGTCTCTAAAGTATGTTCAAGGATGTAGTACTGACACCATCAAGGAATCTCTACCTTCAGATTCAGTAAAACAGATACCACTTGATGACAAAGGAAAGCAAAGTTCTGCACCACCTTAATACCATCATACACACTAAGGAAAAATGTAAGGTCAGTTTGAACTAGACTGAACTAATTTTATTTCCGTCCAAAAAGAACAGACACTAATTTAACTGTATACAGAATTTAATTTAACTATAACTACACAAGTTTCAGTATATTGTCCTTTTCAAGAATTGTTTAAACAAAACAAAATAAAAACACAAAAAAACCCCTGCCAAAATTCTAACTCATACTTTACAATTAAATGCCTCATCTTTCTTTCTACCTCTAATAACCTCAGACTAGAGCTGCAGTTTCACATTAACTTATGTACGGATGAAAACTCCCTTGCTCATGAAGTGTAATTTGGTTATTATCCATGTTTTTTCCACTACCACCAAAACTGGACTCAAAAGTAAGTTTTACAGTATTAGCAATGAAAAATTTCATGAACCTAGAAGAACAGAATTCAGAAAAAGATCACCAACAGTTTTTACTATATTAAAATGTCAAATCCCTCTAAAAAAATATTTATGCATTTCTGTGCATATTCTTGTTTATTAACGTGTCACATTTTACTACAGTATCTGCAAATTCCTTACTTTGAAGACCTGAACAAACTAGTAACCACTTTTAGTTAGACCATCAAAACCCCACCAAGTTCTCCGATAACTCGGCAGTTCCTGCTTTGAAGAAAAAGGTTCCAAGAGTTTTCAGCATTATACTCAAACACATGAGCCACATGAAAAAGACAGTTTTCTTTTTTCTGGTATGACCACTCAAACCCTTCCATTCCCACACTTCTTATTGTTATTGCATGTAAGCCTTTAAGATTCCTTACCTTGACTAAACAAAGGTGCCACTTAGCTATTTACTGTACTGTTTTACCTAGTTACTGACTAGGCACACTGAAAACTCTCCCCACTACACTGCCAGATCTTCAAATCCACCATTCCAGTTAATGGAAGTCTAGGTCACTCAAAACCAGAATTACAGTCAGCAATTCTGTTCCAGTATACCACCTGATGTGACATTATGTAATTTCATCAGAAATCATTGTAATTGACTGCAAAGGAAAGGAAATTTGAGTTTATTTAGCTTCCAGTTTCTGGGAGGTCAAGAGGAACTAGGATTGCTCTGGACAACAAAAGAAAATAGACTGTGCTTACAGATAATTTTCTGCCATATTCTTTCTTTAGGACCACTGTTTTATTGTTGTCCTTTCTATTACATGGGATGTACATATTATCAGGTGTTAATAAAAGGTCAGTGCCTGTACAATACATTCTACAACTGAGCACCACTTTCCGTAACTGACCAGGTAAAGAAAGTACACTGAACATCAGCATCTGGCAGTATTTCTCCAAAAAAAGTGACTAAAATGGGTTTAAATTGATTAACACTATTAAATCACATCTAATATTTGATACTACATGATTTCATTACAGCTATACGATACAATTATACAAAATGTGTTAACATCAAAGAATACAACCAAAATTAAGATAGCAAACAAAACCTATATAACTTTTTTCTTTACAGGAAAATACTTTTGAAGTATGCATGTAACTGCCCATTCTTTTAAAGAAAATCTACCACAAGCAAGTTTTCACCCTCCTGAAAAATCACACATAGCATTACCACGCATATCCCCAAAAAGTGTACAATATGCACACTTGGAATACAAAATTAAAAAAATTGTAAGCAACAGGTGAGCTTCATATTTATAAGAATGTGAAAAGAAGTCCAATTTGAGCACTGTTGTATAAAGAATTGTCTTTTTTTGATGCAAGTTCATGAACAGACCCCTCCAGTTGGGGCCACACTTTACAAAACACCGTGTTCTTGAAACGGGATTACAGAGCAAGGTAGAGCATCTTAGCAATGTCACCTGAAAGTTTTTTTGTGGGGTTTTTTTTTTGCTTTTTATTTACTACTTATCAAAACACGTCCTTTAGATTTGTAGGGTTCTTTTTTTTTAAAATTCTTTCCTAGAAACAATATACAAAGAGGAGACATATTTATTTCCAATTCATACTCCTGTAAGATGCTTTGAGTTCGTTCAAGAACTTTCTCCTCCAAGTTTCACTGGTTGTTTTTGGCCTTAGCATGTGTTAAGATGTGAGATTTCAGGTTAGTTGATTGCGCAAACTTCTTATTGCAGCCGTCGAAGGGGCAAACGTAGGGCCTGTCACCAGTATGAATTCGCACATGTGTGCGTAAATTGAAGTCCAGTGAAAAACGTTTTCCACATCCTTCAAACGTACACTGGTGAGAGGGAAAGACATAACTCTGTTAGCTACAAAGCAGTACTCATTGCAATCACTGATTAGAATAATATTCTTCTTTACATCACCATACGGCACAAACATGAAGCTAGATGCTGAAGTTTATTATAGGTGACGCTGTGGGCATCGCTTGTAAACTGCACTTATAAAACTAATACTTGCAAGTTTTTCTACCACAGTAGTACATCTATTTTCAAAGCGGGAAATAACTTCCAGCTTGTAACCAAGTGCTTTGCCTAGAAACACCTACACATTTGAAACAGTATTTTATTATGCTGTACTAGGAAACAGAAACAATATTTCACATCAGAATTTCCCTCTTTTGATCGGAATTTGCAAGGATGTGCTCATTTTACCAGCTTTCCATTTAAGATGGGCTCAGAACACAAACAGCAATAAGCTTAGTGGTAAATAGTTATCACTTAATACAAAGCAGCTCCAGCATACGCATGTAAGTGAATGCCTAAGAGTCGCAAATCAGGTTTCTGAAATAATTAATTTTTACAAACAAAGTCAACAAAAAAATACGTATCTTAAATGTGTACTGGAGAACACAGATATGCTCAAGACTGTGAATACTTATAAGGAATATTAATAAGGAGTATCATAGGAAGTAGCCAGGGGACCCCTGGTGGCAGAAGCTCACGTGACTTGATATGAACGGAAAGAGATTCAGTGACTACCATCATTTTTCTGAAAACTAATCAATACCCACTACTGAAAACTAGTATCGTAAGTTAAGTGAGCAAACAGCCCCCAGTCTCAGCTGTCCACAAGAGCTAAGTTGAAAGGATGATGAGGAGACATCCTCATTTTCCTCATTCAACAGTAACTGCAGACTAAAAGTGGGTAACTTCACATTGTGTTTTGGAAAGTACCTCCTCCTACGTACATACAATTTGTCAGAAATAGTTAACAAGAGCCTAATTAGATGAAAGTTATTTCCAGTTTTTAAGGTGATCATTCAGTGCTTCATCTGATTTTAGAAAAATAAGAGTATCCCCAAAGTCCTAAGCAAGCTAGGTTACAGTTACACTCTGCACATTTATCAAATCAATCCTGGTACTTCTGTCTGGAGGTTAGCAATACCTGAAAGGGTTTCTCTCCAGTATGAACTAGCTGATGTCGCTTTAGTTTTGAGCTCTCCACAAAGGCCTTGCCACATTCTGCACAAACATGTACTCGAGGGCCGTGGGTGTGCAGATGCTTCCTCATGGCAGAGTTGTCCCTGAACATCTTTGTGCAGCCCTTAAAAAGAACAGTGAAAATCAATTAGCAGACAACAAGTTACAATACAGAAGATTCTATCTGCTACAGTACAAGCATTTAAAAAGTGTTTATATCCTGAATACTTTTTTAAGAGTTGGCCCTGAAAAGGAGACCTCTTACATTGACTAAAAAAAGAAAAGCAATACCAAGAAAAGTAGTAATTTGAAAAGCTGACAAAAAAACCCCCCTCCACTCCAAGTCCTCTCCTCACTTAGTATTATGAACCATGTGCAGTCAAATGAATAATAGGACAGTCTCATGGAGAAGATGTAGTTCTGATAGAAGTAAATGAATAAACCAAACAAAAGCACTTACAGTTTCAGGGGGAAAAAAACAAAAGACAAAACGACAATTTATGGACATCTATGGTATATTCTTCAATGTGCTATATTCCAAGTATTACATTACTACAATATACAATAGTCTCTAAAACACCACAGATTATCCTCTAGTATCAATCCATATGTGCAACACTGCATCTCCCAACATTCTATTAATTTCCTTCCCTCTCCTTTTCATTCCTGAGAAGAAACGGAGCAAGAGGGTTTCTTTCCAGCATCTCATACCTTACAGAAACTACCTTGTTCAAAGTAGCAGCATTAGTTGATCACTTGAAATATAAAAAGACTGTCACTGCTTCTACAGTTTAAACCTACAAAGCAATACCAGGCAACTGAACAAGGCAGGAGAACCTTCAAGTTAGTGCCAACTCAACTTAAAAGCAAGATATCCCCATTAACTCAGGTACAGCATGAGAAGTCTTAATCTGGGGTCCATGCTGCATTGACACAGGGAAAGTACTTTTGATTCCAGATTACATGTAAACCAGCAGCAACCTACAGATGTCTTTACCTAATCTTTTTCTATTTTTTTCACCTATCAACATACATCTACCACGTTTTATAAATGTCTTCCTCAAGGTTCAAAAATGCCTCATAAAATCATATTAATAACTGCAAATTCTATCTGTACTCCAAGCAATATTACGTAAACTTGCATAAAGCTAGTCCACCAACATCAATGAATAACGTGCCATAAAATTTTACAACATTCGACTGCTAATATTAAATTCTGCAGGTTTCCTCTGTGGAAATTACTTTTTTGAAAGCTAATAGCCACCTTTAAACATGTCTTATTTCTTAAAAAAGGGGCGAAACGCCACTTTCAGGATGAATTTCCTCTTAAGGTACTAGGATTTCTTTGGCTAATTTAAGAAGTGTTGTGCCACCAATCACTGCACGTAACAGAAGTGTGTGGGGCAAAGCAGCACCAAAATAAATATACCACCAACTTCTTTTGCATTTATTTCAAAGCCTCTGCTTGCCTTTGAGAGGTGCAGTTACATCTTCAACAGTATTTTTTTTTAAACTGAAGTCATAAACACACACAGCCTAGAAACACTAGAAAAGAAAATACAGAAGGACAGAATATTCTTCCCCCCCTGCTCAGATTAACTTGAGGCTATGAAAAAGGAAATCAAATAAATGAAAGCACATTCCTCTGTATTGTAACAAATAACTGTTCCTGTATTTCCATAGACTATACTACAATAAAAACACACTTGTAGAAGTGATACAGAATGTGAAGAATCGGAAATCAATATAAGCACAGAGAGCAATTCACCAAACTCCTCAGACTAATGCCATCACTAAGGCCTTCTGTTCATGCTCTCTAACATGTACTATTAGCTATCTGCCCTAATTATTTGCTTAGGCTTACATTTATCTAGACCAGAAGTCAGCAAGATTGTATTTGTCTTTTTTCATTACAGACTAAGTCAGCTAACAGAAGCTCTACAAAAGCTGGATAATGCAGTAAAGCTCGATGCTACCAATTTAGGTGACTGGCAACATTTATTCAAGACAAGAGGCTTGCCCGCTACGAGTTGATCAGAATCATTCTCCAATATGCCCCTCTCTCTTTCAACATGATGCACCTTCCCACTCTGTGGAATGTAATTCTGTCTTCCAATAATGCTAACTTTGGCATCTGCACCATATATTGCTGATTCCTGATCTAGACTCCAAATCTGTCATAGTTTCCAAGCAGATGATATATAGATCTTAGGAACGTACTTTGAACAGCTTTCAGAACATTCTTTCAAGTATGTATTCTTGGGTAGCAGGAAATCACAACAGTAAAACCAGCATGTTAGGGGCTGTGCATCATGGTTACCAGAAGATTAGGGATGCACTAACCTTAAGACAAGGAATGGGAATAATATATTATTCAGTGAAAAGTTTTTAAGGAAGCCTCTAAAGAATAACTACAATACAGTTAACTGAATGTAAACTATTAACAGTAAGGTATTTTAACTACTCATTCTCAAGAGAAAACAAATACAAAATTCTGGTCTAGAAATTGCTACCTGCTCAGAAGCTGAGCACTTCACTTACTTTGTGAGGACAAGCTATCGTTCGTGGTGCATCATCTTCTTTTATTTTTCTTGGTTTCATTCTTGAAGATAAAAAAAACCAAACAAATACATTAGTAGAAAAACATTAGTAGACAGCTCTTCTCCTGTAAATGCCTACATTATGCACACATTTATTTGACAGTATTACGTGTATCAGTAGTACTCAGTTTAGTATTTTCAAAAACTTCATAATAATATTAACAGTATAAATTTGGCATTTGGGAAGTTTAGCTTTTCCAGAAGAACATGTCAAATACAGAATAAGACATTTAATAATGCCTTCCTAGTCCTCTGAGTGTGGAAACAGAGGGTTTTTTTCTGATTTACACTAATTGTAAGTATGCAGTAAGACTCCCTGTAGACAACAATGTGAGTATAGTTCTGCCATAACAACCACCTGTCTGACTGTCAAAGAAGAGTCAGCTGTGTGGACACTATTCCAGGGAAGTTCACTGCCCTTTTACCCATCTATTTCTCAAACCTGTAGCGCTGTCTTCAAAAAAATTAAAGAGAAATGTGGTAGGTGGAAATAAATGAAACCTCATACAGCTAAGGATTCATTTAGGTAAGTAACAAGATTTTGGACATTCCAACAGCTTGCTGTAGAAGGAGAGCTAGTCAGTTTCTGTGAGTTCCTGAACTTCTCCTGGTAATACAGTGCAAGATAGTTCTGTATGACAAGATAGATACATATCACATTAAATTAAAGGTTTTCGGGTGTACTCTCTAGTCTCAAAAAGCTATAAGAGGCTTGAATTTAACAAAATAGCTAGAATTACTAAAATCACTATTCTTAACATTAAGGAGAGAAGTCTGTTGCTATCCAAGACAATTTCAACCCCCATGAGTTCAGTTGTTGGAAACAGATATTTAATAACAGGGTTGTAGGAAGAGATTTCAAAGTAGTGCATAAATGCATTTTTAATAATTAATCTGACACTGGCTAAACAACAAATTCTAAATGTACAAAACAGTTCCCAAGAGCTGTAGGAAAAATATGCTTAATTTGACCACATAAGCATCAGTTTCTTCACAGGCAGAGTCCAGCCTTCTTTGGTACTGTGACATTCCTACATGTACGGCTGAAATCCATTGTTTCACTTGCCTCTTTCATGTGGACAGCAAAGGAATTAAAGCACAAGCCGTGAAAAATCTCCCTAACAAGTCCTGAAGACGGGATCCAGGAAAATCTCCCTACAACTGCCAGAGGAGTGATACGTGATGGAGAAGTCCCCTATGGCTCTGCGGGCTATCACTTGTCACTCAGACAATCTGACTCCTCACAGTACTGCAGATGTAGCAGAGTTCCAGTGATCACGTAGGGACTAAAGAACTCAACAATCAGCCACTTCACAGACACAACATTAAAACACAAGGATTTAGAGGCTGCATTTAGTTTTTTCTCTAAGTGGACACTTTGGAAACTCCAGCTGGCTCAGCATTTCCAGACTATACCAAGTACATACACTGCTAACTGAACAACACTGCAGACTCCTGCAGGCTTAAATATTCAGATGTGACAAAAATATGGAAGCTGGAAGGGTATGATATCCAACAGTCCCATCATTTACAGATACTAACAGCTCCTAGAAGATGGGTGCAAGGTATTTGTATCAACCATGCTCCTCTTGTCCCATCACCAGTATCATACCTAATCATTTTGACCATTCAAGGGCAGAAACATCCTGAACACAGCAAAACATACCTGTTCCTGCAGACCAGCCTCGTTATTATCTTAATCTTCTTGGTAACTTTTCTTTTTCCAAAATTACAGATCAACCTACATGACCCTATTGACTAGATTTCATTTATATAAACCAACTGGAATAGATAATGATTATGCTATGTTTATTTTACGCAGCTTCTTTAAGCAAAATATTAAATACATAAATCAACACAAGTAACTGGGATTAAGTGACTGACTATGCACTCCAGCGAGCTTCTACACTGACAACACTACAGGTACTGATGCATGTAGGAAAACACACAGACAAAAGCTTTCTTTCTCACAGTAATCCTACAGAAAGCTTTCAATTGTCCATTGCTTAGGATTACTCTTATTCTGTCTCTAAAATTTTTACAATACAAAAAGGCACAGAAAATAGCATCTGCTGTACCAAAATGGACACACAGAAGAATGCTCGACAAGACAGGACATAAGAAAACATGGTGCCATGGTTTAATGCCATTAGGAAGTAAATACCCTTAGGGACAAAGGTGGTGCCAAAAACACATCCGTTACTTCTAACTCAATGCACTTGTTAAATGCTGCTTAAGTCATTCTCCCCAGTTCCCTCAGTGTCCCACACACACACACAAAAAAAAAGCACAAAAAACTCCTGGGTCCAAAATCTGTGTTCATGACATAATCAGTATGCATAAAGCCATTGTTCAGAAGTCTTAACTGACCACCTGTAAAGTGAGAGATTAGACAGAAATGGAATCACTGACAAGAAAGCTGGTAAATAGCTTCAGTGGGCAGTGCCTGTATTTTTTACCCTTGGCATAAGATCCTACTAAGTCATCTTCCTAACTCTTCTGTCTTGTGTCCTCTGGCATTAAGTGAATCTTTGATAAAGAAATGCTGCAAGTGTCATCTGTAACAGGCTGCTGCAGTAGAGTGAGAGGGAAAATACCCTGGCCAGTGCAGTCAGGAAGCTTCTAGATTAGTGTGGTCAGGAAGCATGTGTCTAATCATAGCTGAACTGGATGGCCAGACATGGGACAGTCTGGAGCTTCAGCATACACCTTACAGTTTTAAGTTCAGTGTTGGAGCAAGCACATAACATTGCGATTGCACAATATGGAATAAGCTACCTTTCTGATTTTCAAGCTTCATTTTGAAAGAGAGGAGTATCAGTAGGAGTGTCAGTATACTTGACCCTAAAAAACATTTAGTCCCTAATGACTACAAAATGACAACAGTTTAGCTAATGAATGGGTAGATTTGAAATATTTTCATTTCTCCTCAAAGTATGGGAAGTAGGCAACTTCAGCTCAACATGCAGAACAAGACTGTGTATAAGCACAGGGTTTCACAGGCAACCAAGCTCTTCAAACAAACAGAAGCAGGCCCTTCAACAGGAAGAGGTAGCAAACAGTGCCCAGGTTGTATCTCAGTCCAACAGGCAGCAGGAAGCTGCTGGGCCCTTTGCACACTTGATTAAAGGCACAAGGGCATGTACACCATAAGTACAGCTATGATAGACCACTTTGTCCAAAGTGTCGTCTTGCCCACCAGGCTGTGGAATATATATGGACAACCAGTCAAAGAAGAATTTAAAGACTTACATATTCAAATGTATTAGAAAAGAAATATTTTGGTCTTACTTTAAAATTAACTTTCTGCAAAAGGAGACCAGATTAGAACCTGGACTGTTGATGTTAATTACACTCTTGCAGGTAGCTCTTGCTGGTGGTTAGATTTTTGGCTCCCACCCAATAGAGCATCTCTGCCAGTTCTGTCCAAGTTTTCCTAGCCTGAAACATTAATAAGAAACAGAACTCTAACACATACCACTATTTAAAACAACTACAGACACAGACACTAGTGCCTGGGTGGAACTCCTGAAACAGTTACCTTTGCAGAAAGCAAATTTACACAGCAAGACAATAATTTTTTTTTTTTACTTTTTTTTTTTTTAACTGTATAGAATTTCCTTCTTCTTTCATCATCTGCATTTTTTGCCTGTTAAACTTCTGCATTCTCACAGAAAACATCTGTGTTCTTTTTTGTCCCTCTACAAATAACTAACCTAAACAGCATTACTCTCTCAGGCAACTCCTTTGACACATTCCAAAGGTATCTCTGTATAGAATTTCCTTCTTCTTTCATCATCTGCATTTTTTGCCTGTTAAACTTCTGCATTCTCACAGAAAACATCTGTGTTCTTTTTTGTCCCTCTACAAATAACTAACCTAAACAGCATTACTCTCTCAGGCAACTCCTTTGACACATTCCAAAGGTATCTGAGGACCAGAAGTGATATCCATCTGTGCTGATGACTGCATCCCTAACAACAGATAGAGGAGGAAGTTACCAGTAGTGTCACTCCCACTTCTGATCTGTTCCCTCACGCTGCCATTCCCCTTGAACTGCCCAACTGAAGCAGAAAAAACATGAATCTCACGGCCCTATGCTGCTGCAAGAATTCACTTGTGCAGAAGATTCCTGAAACTGGCTAGACAGGCTTTTGGATAAACAGGTAAAAGCAGAGTGGCACAAGGTGTCCTAGAAATTTATCAACAAACAAAAAGCTAAGAGCCAGTGTCTTACCATGCTTTGGTCACAGGTGGGAAAATTTCACAAAAAGTTCTCTTTCACTCCAAGATTCTGGCAGAAAAAAAATTGTTTTGTTCCAGATATGAAGAATATCACATGTAAACAGAAAGTGACCTTTGCAGTGTGGTACAGAGCAAGAGATTCCCCCTCCCCCAGAATACCACTTTGGGTAAAGCAATTGTCACTTTACGGCCATTTAAAAGGTTCTCTGTAGCTCGAACAAAACCAGTACAAAAGCGTGTACCTTATAAAGAGGCCTAAGTCATAAATCTGGGTGACCAAAATGCACTGTTACTTTTAAAAAGGGTGTCTGATTTCAAACTCTAATGCAGATTCCTTTGGTTTGGAAAGCAGATAAAAAGGAAGGGCAGTTCTCACAATGGCTCTCCTTCAGAAAAGGTACTAAGAGCAGAAGAGAAAACCACAGAGTGTCGATTTTTTATCACTAGGACCCATTACTGTGCCAGTAGCCTAGGTATAGCATATTCCCCCTCTTAATTCTTAGTTTCACCTATGTTTGCATTCTGCTGTCTTTAGCCAGTTCAGTTATATTCCTGTCTGAAGGGTAAGAGGGAAGGAGAGGTCAATCAGGGTTATCCATTATAGTGACTTTGAGGGATATGCACCAACCAGAAATATGTTTGCTACTTCCCCAAGCTTTTATTACCCAGCAGTTATGACTTCTTCACACCTAACTACGGAATTACTTGTAATCAATTTAGACTTTAATGAGACTTTAGTTCAGTTGAAGGGACTTCCAGTGCCTCAGTCAAAGGTAACAAATGGGAACATGGTAACATGAGGTTTTATTTCTTTCCAAGCAGATAATTCACAACTTAAGGTTTCACTTTCTGATGAGACAGCGTAACAGAAATCCACTTTTTTTTTTTCTATTATTGCATCTTTAAAGCATACAAGAGAAAATGCCTAAGTGCTACAACAGAATGAAATAATTTGTAAAAGGAAAATTATACCCAAACAGGTATAATTTACTGTCATTCATCTCCGTATTACTGAACACATCTTAATGTTCTAACACAGCTTGTTTATTCAGTGTTTTCAATAGTTTTACAATGTTTAAAAGCCTTTCCAAGAGTAACTGCAGCAGTTCCAGTTAAAGGATCCAAATTCCTGCTACATGACTCAATGACAAATGCGCTAAAAAAAGCAGCATAAGACAATTGTATCCCAAGAGACGGCAGAACTGTGCACTCTGCTAGTGCCACCTAGCTGCTAAGCAGCAGTGGTGGCCATTGCAGACGCTGGATTACTACAGTTTTAATTGTTTTAATTTTTCTTTTTTTTGCAGGCTGCAGAGCTACAGTACAGAGGATTTCAAGCATATTTCACCTCTGATTTACTGCTCGCTACTCCAGAACCTTGTCTAAAATCTGTTACCACTAGAATTCAACCATGTAAACTTAATTCCAGAACTTTTTCCTAAAAATCAATGGAAATGTCTCAGACAATTTATCCCTTATCAAAACAAACTGCATGCTTATAGATAGTGAATCTAGCCTGGTTTTGAGTGGCTAATTTCTACAAATGTGTGGTGAGATCCTTCCAGTTACCTTTATGCAAACAGGAAAACAACCCAGAATAGCTTGCTCTCAACTGCACAAAACACACTTAGCATACAATTTTACTAGCCAGTTTATGCTTCCTTATATGTGGACTGTACATAACTCTTTTTTAAAGTCATCAACATTTGTTATTCAAAACCTTACTCAGAGCATATGAAGCTATTAGGTTAAGTTTAGAAGTAACAGTTTCAACTTCACCTGCTGCTCGAAGTCTTCGAAATATTACTGAGAATGTCAAAATTCTGAATTGTAAAATAACCAGCAATGCTTGAAACTTTGAAAGAGAACTTTACACTACAAAAATGTCCTTTTATTATGAACTCTATTCCTGGGGCCTCCAAATCCAATTTCAGTACATGTAAACTCAAGTGTTTAAATGTTTTAATTGCAGTTTGCCATGCTAGGTTTCTAGTGATACTGCACACAGCTCTAGAAAGAGGTTGGTAGGTATTAATGCTTGAATTCATGCTATTAGCTAAAAGGGCCCTTCAACAACCCACTTACAAGAAGACCACGACATTAACAAGCAATATTCAAATTCCAATACACCCATATTCTTCAGCCTCAGCCATACACAATCATTTAAGATCCAACATACAACACGGTTTTCTTTTTAATTTTCCTTAAGGAAAAAGTAAAAGTTTGGCACATTGATTCTGACCAAGAAATCAGAAAACCTTTCTTAAAACAGAAGGTGCTTCAAGTTCTCATCTAACTACAATTAAGCTATCAGAACAATTCTTCATAGGCTTTGGGCAACATGGAAATATTGCTAAAGGTGATGTAGCCACAAGTTGCTTGTTCTACAAATACATAGATGTGTTATGACTGAATTGGATTATATTTAATCTGTTGCACAGAAATATATTAACAGAAAAGAGACTGTACAAATACAACTCAACCTTTCCATTATCTGCTACGTAGTTTAGCTCTAGAACTTCCTAGAACATTCCACCATGAATAAAAAAAAAAAAGGAATTTTAAATTACTGACAGCTGTAACTATTTTCCCAACAGAAAACTAATTAAAACCCAAATATGCAGTACGTATTACAACACTAAGAAATACGCAGACAGATCAGACAGAAGCAATCTGGTAATTTCAAGAAGCCCAAATCCTAGCAACCATTTCAAATATTCAAACCAACCTGGAGAAAAATATACAGCATTTGCAGAGAATACTGCCATAAACTATTTACACCTCCTAACAAAAGTTTATTTTGTTATATTTTATTTAGCATTCATCACTTAAATGTTTAATAGAACCAAAGGTTTCAGCATATTTTAAAATAACTAAAAATGGGCACATGATGAGCAGAAATGTGTAAGTTAACATTTTAGAATTAGACAAGAGTATCACTTAAAATTTTGCTTTCACAAAAAATGTGTTAACCTTTCAGCAGGTCTCAGAAGAAAACACAATAATTTTGATTCACACTATTATAAGACGTAACAAGAGTATCAGTAGCTAGAGCCACCCACCACTTTAGATAAAACCCTACCTTCAGTTGCTCATAATGCGTTTTTACATATTTCCAGATCAGATAGCCTAAAGCAAGGAGCAAGCCCTGAAAAGCTATCTTACTAGGAACCTTCAATATCCACAGTTCAATGGATTTACTGAAAATAATTGTGGGCAGTGCTGGCAACAAGGTGAAATGAGTAGCTGCACATACTGGACACCAAGATCCATCTAACCAAAAAGACAGACCTGAACTTGTCTCAGCTGTCAGTGGCTAAAAAAAATAATAAATTAAAAACAAATAATAATTTAAAAAAATAATCATACTTCTCCCTCTACTAGCTGATCCAGGAAGTAAGTGTAACAACATCTGGCCATCCACATGCTCTTAAGTCTCAGAATCGTGTACCAGAGCTCTGAAGAACACCCAGCTGGTAACTAAACAAAAATGAGTGTAGCTTCATACATGTGTTTTACTTTCAACATGAGAAAAAGTGATTAGAGCAGCTGCAGGAAGCTAACAGTTCTGCTCAAGTATTTGGAGATGCCAGCATTGATGCTGCCTGTGCACTGAATGGAAGACCATCCCTTACTAAATACAAGCACCAGCAACACAAAGAAGGGTACCAAGTAAAAGCTGCAAAGGCAAAGCTAAACTCACAGCTACCAGGTGCCACAGCAGACTTCTCTGGTGGCCACAGGCTGCCTTGAGCACTTGGTACCAAAGCCAGGGGCTCTCTGGAGGCCGAGGGGGTCAAGAGACCTATGACACTTTCAAAACTCTCTCACAGAACAGAGCTTCTGTCATTTCACCTCTATTTGAAAGTAAAAGTCACCTGGTAACTCAGGTCAATGTATTGATACGTAAGCGACTAAAAAATTCTGATTCACTAGAGGAAAATCCAAGCAGCTTAGCTACCAATTGTGAAACTGCAATTATCAGTAGCACTTGAATGCTCAAACAAACAGTTTAAGACCTAGAACTCAAGAAGTAAGTATCAGATGAAAAAGAACACTAAGGAGCTTTACAAACTAAATACTGTAGTCTGGTTTTCTTGTATGGAAGAACCTGAATGAAATACTTCACTTATTGGATCCTTTGGCTGTCCTAAGGCTACTCACATGAAAGATGAATCTGTCATGTAAAAAATTCACTCTTATCAATGCATTTAGGTCCTGTCTTACCCAACAAGAGCTAAAGTCACTGAAGACATCACTGCTGAACATGAAACATGGGTATTTTAACATAGTATCAGCCACTCTGTTCTGAATTAAGTCCCTTGTTTCAGAAAATGATTAAATGGAACAATAAGCCATACTACATCTATCATTTATATTGCCTAACAGTTTAATAATTAAACCACTGAAAGGAAAAACATTTTCATTTAAAGATTCTTTCTTCTTACTTACCTAGCAAATTCAGCCAGTTGTTTGGGGTCTGAGAGGTCAATGCCAGGTATTCCACCAGGAGGAAGTTTCTTCCCTGTCATGTACTCTGAGTAATCTGGAGGAGAATTCTCCCCAATGATCTGCTCTTCCACCACTGTTTCATGGTCAATATCTTTTTTATCATCTGAAATACACAAAACAGTGAATTCAATACATACTAAAGATCAAAACAGCATAGAAGTTGTTAGGCTGAATCTCAATACAAGTTCACTATTCTTGCACACTTAAAAAAGAACACACTGCATTTCCAGACCTCCATGATAATTGTAAAGCGCAAAAAGACGCCCATGCAGTTACAGCATGAAGAACACAGAATGAACACGGTGGGTGAGAAAAAAAAAGAAAAACGCAGAAGGTGTGTATCTGCTTACATACAAATAAAGAACTAAGTAGAATAATCCTATGGATGTTTGCTGTATTTGAAAGATAATGCACTTTATCTGAAACAATGCCTAAATATTTAATTAGCTTAACCTCTTCAAGACTAAGGTCCACCACATCCACTTTGGATCTCAACAGTAGTTGGTAACAAAGCAAGCCTGTATCAGGAGTGGTAGATACTTTCCTTAAGACGTTACGACTACTGATCTTTACTTTAGAGTCTTCAGACTCCCTGGACCTCCAGCAGAAGTGTCATGCACAGACAAGAAATTTAGAAACAACTGTTAATGGGCCTCAGCATATGCCCATAAAATACAAGTTTTTCAGCACTTGCAAACAAGTCTGAAAGAAAGCAAAAAACTAAATAACCCATCTCCCTTCCATGGGGGCTTCTTTCTTCAGTGGCAGAGACCAGCCTGAGCTCTTTCCCACACTACTATGTAAACAGCAGATAAGGATCATTCCAAGCTTTAATCTGCAAGTCAGTTAAGATACTGCTGTTTTATCTGCTCTAGAGCTCCTCCTATGGATTAGTGCTCAAGGACTGCAGTGAAACCAGATGGAAGACCTGCTCTTGCTGTCTACTTGCATTCAGACCTTGGAATACGCCAAGACATAATATTCTTCTCTCTCCTCTTGCTGTTTTATAACAGAAAGCAGAGACAAAAAGAGAATGGAAACATCCACCTATGTTCCTCACAGCACTGCTCACACCAGCAGGAAGACACAGCACCAATCCTGTTATATCCTCAAATACATCTAGGACAACAAATGCATGTATCATAGAAAAACAGAATGGGTTGGGTTGGAAGGGGCCTTAAAGATCATCTAGAAATATGGTTGTAACTACTCAGCTAAATCTTAATAAACTTGCCACTATACTATTTCTCCTACCTTGTGTATGGGGAGCAGATTCTGCAAATAACTATACACCAGAGACTTTACAAAAATAACAGGAAGTTTTATTTTACAGGTGGTGTTTAAGGAAGGTGGTAAGACAGAAATAGTATTTCCACAATTAAAAAAGAAATTGAAAAACATAAAACAGAAAACAAGTGAGGTAATGTTTTTCCTTTTTTCCTAAACAGAAACACAAAAAATAACGTTATTCACTACTCTGTAACTTGTATTAGAAAAGAGAGGATAAGACGTATGCAAATAAAAGACATATACTAAGGACAAATTTATATTCAATTTGCAATGTCTGCTTTTACTGTCTGCCACCAAGCTATTTCTAGAAATGTTACTGCTAGTTTGGAGTTTCATCTGATCTACCAGATCAAATAGCAGTTCATGTATATGTTCCATGGTGAAAGAGGAACACAGGCTCCAACACTGTAGAGACAGAAGTGTTCATAAGAAAATACTACCTGCAGCATTAAACTTGAAATAAACTAAAAATTTACTATTTCGACAACTTTTTATTCTAAATGAGTTTTCCACTAACCAGAAGACAACTGAGTTTACCTTAAGCAAGGATTATACAGTAAGTTTTACAGCAACCCCAGATTTAAAAATTCAAACCAATAAACCTCCACTTTGGCAACAATTTGTTTTTCCAAGCAGAAGACTGGGGATATTTAACAATTCCTACACAGGCAGAAAAGCCATTATGAGGCTTGTGAGAGCACAGAACTTCTGGAAGACTAGAAGTGTCGCCTTTTCCATGCTATAGACAATTAGAAAGAGATGATCCACCTTCAACATAGCCATTTCAACAGCTACCCAGAACTTCCAGTTTGACTGTTTGGTGACATTTGTAACAGAAACAAGTTTTCCTTTCCTGCCTCAGATCAGACGTGTGAGTCAACCAGGAAATTTTGTATACATTCCTTCAGAA